AGCTTTGGGTTACGTTGCGGTGCATTTTCGTAGTAGCGCGTACTCCATTTGACTTTTAGATGTTGGTTTGTTGTGTGATGGTGGCATTTGTGCACGGTGTGGTGCGGGGTTGCTTGGGTGGTGGTGGTGTGGTGTATTTGGTAAAAAGTGTGGTGTATTTAACAATTTTCTTTTTTTATCTGTGAGTTGAAATTTTTTACAAAAAAATAATATGCTTATAAACAACATAATTTATGAATCCGAACAAAACATTGTGACAATTTACTAAGTCAAATCCATAATGCCTATTAATTCAAAATGTGAACTAATCATCTCAAAATGCATGTGTTCTAAGATTTAAATTTTATGAGACTTATCAATATTCTAATTGAACTTGAATAGGTTTTTCATCAAAAAGTAAAACATGTTTATCTTTGACATAAATACTGTCTCACATTTCAAGAAGTCAAAAGATGAATGATTTTTTGGTCTATTGAAATCAGAAGATAATTCATATATACATATTTATTTATATTTATATATTGATATAATATATGATAAATATAGCAAATTGATTGAATTATAAAATTTAAAAATTCATATTTTATTTATGTCAAGATTTCCTTACAAATACTTTATACTACAAACTTTTATGAATTTTTAATTTAAAAACTCCATGAAATAATTTCAAGTTTTAAAAAAATATTTGTTGTACAATTACTTTCATCATGTTATTACGTAATTTGCATTAGAATCTTGTTAAAATACACAGATCCTGTTAATTGAATTAGGGTAGTAAATTAGGAACTGATTTTATGTAATTAATTGAACTTGACTAATTAGACTATCGTAAAAAAAATTATAGAAGAAAAAGTATCAAATATTTACATGACACAATTAAAATATTTGAGAAATATGGGTTTTTTTTATTGGATCAGTATTTCTATTTGAAATCATATATGATTGTGAGTTGTCTATGAAAAATTAGTTTATTATAGATATGTGAAGATAATATATGATGTATCATTTCAAAATTATTCATTTAAAAACATGTGTAAATACAATCTTGAATGTTAACAAGTATGTTTTCAATTATATATTTTATATTGATGAAAATAAAAATGAAAATTTTTCACTATCTAAAATCAAATGTAAATTTTTTTTTTTTAATTTTGAAAAGCAAAATATTTTTAAAATTTAAATTATCCAGTTATCAGTTTTTTCTGGCTTTCATAATTTTTAAAAATAATTTAGGTATAATTTTAAATAAGAATTGAGAAAAAGAACAATTTTTTATCTACATATTGAGAAATTTTTTTCCTGATTTAATAAAAAAAATTTCAATTAATATTCTTTTCCATAGCTTTTGGAAAAATAACTTGGTCTACAGTTTATCAAAAATACAAACGAATTTTTTTTCATTCTAAAGATGAAATTAATTTATTGATGTCAATTTTGAGTGAAAGTTAATCTAATATTTTATTTCAAATTTTAATAGATTATATAATATCATCAACTTATTTACATAATATACTTTAGTAATATAAATGGAATGAACATATGCAGTCAAAAATTAAATCAACTGGTCTACTAAGTTCAATGATTTGGAACAAAACATTAAATCTGTTGTTCTAATGTCAAAAGTAAACAATAACTGCATCATTCGAAAGCATCTATTGATGATTTTGCAATATTAAGGCTAGCACAACTCAATTTCACTTTCAATAAAATTATCAAATTTTATTATAAAACCAATTTAATTAAACATATCATTCTGAAAATAAATGGAATACTTTCACTCTAAAAAGATTCAATGTTTGTATCCTATGATCTGTTTATAACTTGAAAGCTAAAAACTTTTATTAGAAAAATGAAAGTAGTTTTACCTATATGATGAAATTTCGAGTACATATAGTTATCGTTTTTTCCTCTATGTTTCGAGTTAAAGTTCGATTATTTATCTTCTCTATCCTTGAAACATCAACGTATATTTGGCAATGATCAGCGTTAGAACATTATTTGAAGACAATTCCATGTGGGTTACAAAGGAGTTACTCTGTACACAAACTACAGCCAAGATGAGTTTCTTCCTGATGCTTGACTTTGATACTTGTGGCTTCAATAACTTCAATTTGTCCTCTCCTCCATGGATCTGCTAACACAAAATTTAGTGCGAAGTAGCCTAAAATTGCCTCACTTGAAAGTGACTTTGTTAAGATCAAGTCAGCGACAGTCATGGTGTTGAGATCTCTGATTCCGTGTATCCTGGTGTGACATTGAGCCCAACTACAAATCTCGTCAGAACTTAGGCGCGTTTGTGGAGACTGAGAACGCAAGTCTAACCAGGTATCAGAGGTGATCAGATTTCCAAAGATAAGATGTTAGAACTAACGGTTCTTCCGATAAATGCTCATGGAATAACAAGAGATTATTTTGCTTTCCCCATCTGCTCTTCCACTTGCCAGTCTCCCTTCCATCACCATCCCTGTCAACGGATGTACGGAGCCACGTCGTCATGTAGCGGCCTGCTAAACCCGGCCGCAGCGGTAGCATGGTTGGAAATAAGAAAAAAAGCATCTCCTTGTTCATGCAATTTTAGACGGGATTATATTGGATGGAACTCATACTCCCACGAGCAGCTACGGTTCGGGAGTGCTGGACAGCAAATTACTGCGATGAGTAGGAAACGACGGGACAAACGGAAGGATCTGCCTCCACCAGAGCAGCCTCCGGTCACAGGTGCTAGTTCTTCATTCTGATTTTATATTGATGCCGGTCAATGAAGTCTACACTTCTGCCAGATGTAGTGTTGTGGATAACCACCGATTTGACCGGGACTCCGAGAGACGCATCTGAAAACAACTTGGATCAGCCTTCAGGCGAATCTGAATCTCCTGAATTGAAGCTACCCGGTCTTTGCTCCAGTGCCCGCGTCCAGCGCCGGCACTGAAGAGTCTAACGTAGAAAGCAACTAGACAGCCGATTGAGGAAACAGCCGCATGCGTCCTCTCCTACACGTCTCGACGGGCACATGGCGCCCATGTCAATCGATGGACCGTCACCAGTCACCGGCTAGCGTCATCAATGTACTTCACGACTGTACAGCATTTTAGGATTGCAGTTTCAGCCTCACTCCACTTCCAGTCCGATGTCGGAGTGTGGGAGCCTCGCAATGCAGGGCCATTACTGCAGGGCTGTGCAGTGAAGGCTATTCCCGATGCTCGAATTTTGCGGTCCAGTAAGAGCGTCAATTACACATGCTGTACTTGACCCTTCACCGCAAGGACACTGAGGGCACTGGCAGAAGTTGTAGCGTCCCAGCACTTGTATTCTACTCTGCAGTGGGGACTCTTTACAATGGGCAGAATTTCTCGCAGCTTTGCGGCAAAATTGGACACACGAGTGATAGGTGGCGCATTGGATGCGACGAGAATACAATAGATCACAGTACAAGAGGTACAGTAACAGTACAGTGGGTAGTGAGTGCCTCTATAGAAAGCATCAAGGCGAGCGAGCAACCCTACCCCACCGCCCACCTCACGCACTACCGTACCAGTAGAGTTGACTGCACACCGAGAACAAGGCGTACACTTGGAGACTGGAAAAGTCAAGTACCACAGATACGGAATTTCCATCACTGGCCCTTCATTCCTCTGCTGACTTGTACTTTCGAACGACGCGGAGGGAGAGAGGGAGTGAGGGAGGGATGGCCATTTCTTCAAAGTGAATTTCGCTCATGTAAATTGCATGAAATGTGACTGCATTCCGCTCAAGGAATGGGGACTTGGTCCTGTCAACTGTCAATCACCATGAACAGGTCTGCCTGCCTAATCAAGCTTAGAGTAACGGTTGCAGCAATTAAGGGCCGTGGTGAGTAATCGGCCGCTAGGTCCCACAGCCTGGTCCACGTCGAAAAGATAATCCATGTCTTGTTCGTTGTTGGCATCATCGGCTTTCAGGACCCAGCCACTCTGTACTGGAGTGGAGTGGGAGGGCGACAACTTTGATGTTCTCGGTATGGATGCTACCGCCCAGGAGCATAGATAAGAGCGCACACTGGTAGATCTGAGGTTCTGACCATCTTGCGCTGCAACTCGAATGCCAAGTGTCGAGTGGTGGGGGCATGAAGCTCTCGTCCGACCCTAGTTTGCCGCCTCACCTTTCTCATGACTCTGCTGCTCCCTTTAAAGCTGCACTTGTGAGAGGCTCATTCCGGTGAAGGGCTCAGCTAGTTAGCAAGAATTTGCAGCACTGCCATTCGCTTCCCCTGCTCCGGTCCAACGCTCTCCATGATTGCAGTAGCACCAGCATCAGCACCAAAAGTTGCACTCATACCTCCCCTCCCCGAGGCAGGCAACCAATTGATTGATAGTTATCGTCAGTCCCAAACCGCAACCTTATGTACCTAATTGAATCCAAAAGCTGTAGGCCCAAAACCAGGTAAAGAATCAGTTAGTTGGTGTGGTAGAAGCGAGTTGCTTGAAGGGATGAACCTTATTTGTCGATAATCGAACCCAAATGTGACTGCAGCTCAATGCCTCTTTGCTTTATCGTGCTGTTGGCACCTCGAAAGCGTCCATTTGTAGGTATCTAGTCCAATAGTCCAGGATGATGAGCTCTGACCAGGTAGTCGTATATGATAGCCCATTGATATTTTCTCCTTTCCTCCAATCTTAAAAACGCGTTTGGGTCTAAGCGTACTGTTGACTCTGAAGCTAGTCCAAGCCATTCCTCTGTTAAATGTCTTCATCGGCATTCGGAGCGCTCTCGAAGCAGTGTAGATGAAAAGAGTCGCTGGCATTCCTTCGCTGCAGTTCTGCGATGTGACCGACGGACTGTTGAATATTAGTCACGCAGGCATTCCATTTTTTCGACATTCTTCCGTGGAGCAGAAATAGAAAGAGGTCTCGTAGAATCTGAAGGTGTTGTTAATTAGTTAGTTAGTCAGCTAGCTAGTTACTCAGTCAGCCAGCCAGCCATCCAGCCTTGTCCCGAATATACCAACGTAGATATTATCTCAAATGGAGGCTCGCAGGCAAGCAGTGTCCCGAGCCAGTTGCTCGTTTTACACCACACTCACAACTCTCTTCGTCCTGCTATGGATTGTTGCATACGGAGCGAGATATGGAGTTCCATCGGTACGAAATCTCAAGAGCACCATCGCCAGCTACAACATCTACACGCCTCTGGGATCGTCACCGTCTCACGTGGTGCCGGCCGCGCTGAACTCGGTCGACGACCTGATCGCAGCGATCCAAAAAGCAGCTGCAGCTGCCGCGGGAGGCAGAGCATTGGCTGAGGAGGCGGCGGCTCTGGGCAAGAGGGAGCGGGCGGAATGGCACAACAACAATCCGTGCAGAAGCCGATCGGAGCTCCAGGGAATGTACGATCGCAGGAAATTCGCCCGAGATGTCAGTCCCAACTCTCGATGGGAAACGGTAATGGACGAGTACGCGAAGCTGCACAGAACTTGCTTGCGCCTGGTGAGGAACTCGACCGAGTATTTCCTCAACCGAAGCTCGAGCACCGGCTGCAAATTCGTGATCCTCGACACTCCTAAGGTCGGGCTCGGCAACAAGCTCTTGCTCAAAGCATCGGTGCTCCTCTTCGCCGTCCTGACGCAGCGAGTGCTCCTCATTCCTTCCGACAATCAGAATGGCCTGGAGCAGCTCTGCGAGCCTTTCGTCGGCTCGTCATGGAAGCTGGAGAAGGACTCCGCCATCCAAAATTACGCCCACCTGTGGCAGTCGACCGGCGCTTTTCAGAAGTGGGTGGATCGGAACGAAATCAGGAGCGAACGCAGTCCCAGGACGCCGGATCAATTTTTTGCCGCCAACCTCATCGATCCATACCAGCCCATGGTAAGGTTCTACTGCAATACAGAGCAGGCGTATTTGAGCAAAGTGACCTGGATTTCCATCGGAGGCTGCGTCTACTTTCTACCCAAGCTGTTCGCCATCCCTGCATTCCGCCCTGCGCTCGAGCAGCTCTTTCCAGATCGCATGGTCCTGACGCACATTATGCGTTCAATGCTGCTCCCGGCAGACCACGTGTGGGAGAGGATTCGCAATGTCGAGGACGTGTATCTGGACACCAGCCACAAGAGGGTGGGCGTGCAGCTGCGCTTCTTCGGATTGCAGTCGCAGTACAAGCATAAGAACGACATCGTGAACGAGCACGTCTTGCAGTGCGGCAACGAGAACGGATTCCTGCCCAGGGTTTTGCCTCCGCGGGTGTCGTCGTCGCGGTACCCGCAAAATGCAGAGAAGCCGAGGAACATCACCAAGGTTCTCATCGCGTCTCTGTTCCCGGGGCTGCACGACTATCTGAGCCCAATCTATCTTCAGCAGATGACGGAGACAGGGGAGGGAGTGGGCGTGGTGCAGTTGACGAGCGAGAACGAGCAGCATTTCGGCTCCGAGGTGGACGTCCAGGCCTTTGTGGAGATCATGTGCTTAAGTTTCTCGGATTTTCTGGTTGTCACTCCTTGGTCGACATTCGGAGGAGTGGCCCAAGCGTATGGAGCTTTGAAGCCGTGGTTCGTCAATTATGACAGCGACGGGCCTGCCTGTGACAGGGCGCAGACTGTGGATGTGTGTTTCGATCAAGCCAGAGATGACTTTCTGTGTCCGCACGACCCAGAGCTCCATGGCAAGAGTCTGCTCAGCCACGTGCCCTACATCAAGAGGTGTCTCAGAAACGATGCCGATGGAGTGCAGCTGATCACCGATCACGAGAGCAACGCCCCTCTCATTCCGACGAAATAGAACCGAGCTTCCAACTTGGCCAGAGAGTATGTACATGTCGCTCCAGCTTCTGGGAACTTGTGCTTTTGCGAGCCTTAGCAACACCAGGCAGCCCTTGCAAGACCTTTCCGCGGAGTCGAGAGCTTGCAAGCTGTTGCTAGCACTGCACAGCATGCACTTCGTTGTCCAGCAATTTTCAGCAGTGATCCTCACGTCGATCAAAGGGACAACTGGGGCAAAGTCATCATCATCATCACCTTCAACGAGAAAGCAGTATGACCTCCATATGAATTTTGCCATTCATTCATCCATGCCGAGCTTCTCATGGCACCTCAGCATGTCTCGAAGCACAAGCATTCAAGACATATTTGATCTTCCCGCAGGATGGTAGGATCTACCACTATACAGTGGTAGATCCTACCATTGAGAGAGTCAAGCTACACTGATCTTTGAGAATGAACTCATTCTCATTCTAGAGCTACGAGGACACTGGCAGCTGACTGGAATCTTGAAGAGCATAGGCCACATACGTGCTTGAAGAGCATAGGCCACATACAATTTTTCGACATGGTTTCCAAGCATCAAGGAAAACTTTTAGCAAAAGCTTTTAAAGAAACATAGGCTTGTGGTAGGCTTGGATTTAGAATTGTGGCCACGAGTTTCCACATCAAATCCGTCCAGAGAGCCACAAATTGTTGTACAATATCGAGTTAGACTATGCATTTAGTGGAGAAACCGTCCACGGGCCGGCCTATGTTTTTTGCTTAATTCCGGCTAGAAAAATCACACAAGATAGGTTTATGAAGAAGGCCATATTGTTCGTCTTTTGGACACCTTGACATAGTAGACCCGACCAGGTCAAAGCAGCATGGATAATAGTTCTGTTTGCTTCATCTCTCCATGTCTGTGCGGTACGAGTTCATCGAGAGTTCCCTTGTTAATGAGACGCCACGAAGGAAACGTGAAACGTTTTCTGTGTTTATCCTCTTACGACGTCATACCGATATCATCTCGTAGGCAAATCTTCAAACTGATAGTGATTGTGGGAACTTCGGAAACGGAGTCACTGATGAATGACGGACGACAAGTTACACGAGAGTATTAGACATCATTTGTTCACCTAGAACAGTTTTCTTTGTGGGAAGGGTGCTCTCGCTATCGCAAACGTCACGGTCGAATTTGACATCTCACTTGATAGACTGACCCCGTCCCAGCGAAAGTACCTCCCATCAGCCTGTATGAGTTTGTGGCGGTCGAAGTCCAGCAAGGAGATATTTGACATTCCCCTTCTAACATCCACGCATCAACTTATATTTAAACTAATTGCTCATATCAACTGCGATAAACTTAAGAACACTAAGAGTGTGTGCGTGCTTTGTGTGCCTGGGAAGTTTCTGAACTGAGAAGTAAACTTGTGAATCTGAGGAGGGTTTGCCTCTGGAATGTACTACGCATTTATGAATATCATAAGCTGGGTGAGATGGTGTGGCCCCTTGCATACACGTGCTCTTCCACACTCAGAAGACTTGCTTCCAAGATTTCTGTCCACACCGTTACATTCTGCAACATTCAGTTCATGTTTTGATGTTTGGCCCCTGCGTACATTAGATATTTCCATCTTCTATCTCGCAGGGAAAAAAGAAGATGCCGTTGGCAGAAGTACAAGCGCCTCGCTCTTACAGCCTGATGTGGGAAATAGAGGAGTCTTGCAAGAGACAGAGGATTGGCCTCTGAGTTCATCGAGAGGATCGACAGGTCATGACACAACTTACAACTTTCGTAGTTGTTTGATCTGCTCTCTCCTGTCCGTAATGCTTAAACCAGCCAATTTTGGAACTTCCATCTTCATAATTAGTACAGCGCAGGGGATCGGGGTCCAGGGAAATTGTCTACGGGACAAATTCACTCCCTTACGGGCTTGATTAAGGTTATACTTACGCAAGATTTTCTGCTAGTGAAACAACAGAGAACTGTCCTCTCCTGATCTGGGACATTCTAGAGTGTTGGCATGGTACCGTCACTGCAACTCTGAAATGCAGAGGACACGGCTGGTCGTCTGGAGAATAAGAACGCCTGCTGCCGGCAAGATCAAGAGCGAAAGCAAATGCCAGTTTAGGATTAGATTTCCATGGGACATCGCTCCCCTCTTTGAATTGCACCTTCAATCGGACTGGTTTTGAGTTGTTGCCCTACCCTCAGAGTTTCGTCATTACCTCGGAAGCATTCGCGTCTACTGCTGCCGAACTAGGTCACAGAGACGAGACTCAAAAGTTGCTCATGTTTCGCGGTTTTCTTCATGTTTCAATCTTGGTGCCTCGAGGGAGAACTCATTTAAGTTAATCTAAATACGGTACGTTATGTGAGGATACAAATCTTTGCCATTTCATTGTTAATGGAGAAACATAAAATAGACAGGTGTTAATTACAAATGCGAGAAATGGGTGTGATATTAGATAATTTTAAAGAAAATCATATCACCGAATATTTGGCATAATTTGATTTAGTCAACACATTTCTTTAGTTTTAATAACCTCAAATATTTGCAAGATGTTCAAATTTTTTGCTTGCTATTTGTTCACGTATTGGTAAGTTACTTGAATAGCTTTTGTACAATAGAGTAACAGTGCAACAGTTTCTCATATTTCAATATCTTAAAATACAAAAGGTTGTCTTGTAAAACGCATATCAAGTATTTGTTCAAAGATCTGAAAATATACATTTCCAATTAAGCTAATATTAAGACATTCCACAAATTTCTCAGGACTAAAATCAGAAAAAAATTCCTTTTACTAGACTTAATTTTTAAAATTTTGTATTACAAGCCTTAAAATGTTTTGGATTTGAAGAACATTTACTGGCTACCATGAGATGTAACCATGGTTGTTAATAACTGAGGTGTGGATAGTCCAATGTAGGAGGGTAGAGTGCAGAAGAAAAATTACTCCTTGACTTGACATTACTCCTCCTTGGGCATTCGTAACTGAGGTTTGCAGAGTCACAGTTTAGAAATTGAAGAACAAGTAATGACTTATAACACGGTGAATGAGTGAGTTGTAACTGTAACGAAAAGCCCTCTATTGCAGTGATCTAACATATTGCCGATCAGTCCGTACCGAACAAAATCAATATCTGATAGTCATGATATAAATTAAATTATTGTCGTCGTACGTTCTATATACAAGTTATCGTTGAAAAGATTATGTTAGTTGAAGTTGTTGCCGGATTAATACATGATGATGATCACATCATCATCATATCAAGACAACAAGCAACAAGTCCTCGAAAGAGAATTTCGAAGAGTGTTGTCTTGTATTTGTCTTCTTCTTCAAGCGGGTAGAGCACGTGTAGACGGAAAAATCCTCGTGGGTACAGTTAATTGAATAGTTCTGAACAGAATAACGTCAGATGTACCTAAAATCTTCACAGCGTTAGCCCAGCTTCTACAAGTTTGGTAGAAACGGTGTATCTACAGCCATCATTATTTCGAGTGTATGAAATATGCCGGATTAGATTCACTGGTCATTATCTAAGAATATGAGTCCAGGGTCCAAAGTGCAAGAAAATAATCCTTTTAGATCATCCGCAGGTGGTTCTAAGATCGTAAGCAGTGGTTCAAGTTTCAAGTGCAAAGACATTACTGAGCGATCGCTAAAGACTGGAAATATTCGTGCGCTGCTACTTCTCAAAGCCTGAGACGGGAACGATTTCTCTGAAATGTGTGCAGTATTCGCTTTCGTCTGAATTGGTAGTCGTGGATTGTGGCTTTAACCGGGATAGCAAGATCGTTACAGAAGCACATTGAAGTGCCTCAGTACTGTTTCTGAATCAAAGCAAGAGCACATAAGAGCACATGACTGGGACCTATGTGAGACACCAGCAAATGGATGTGCACCAGCTCACAGTCGTCGAATACGGCCTCTGCGTGGCTGCTTTGATTTCACTGGTCTCACTTGGACGTTTGACTCATCCACACCTCCTTACGTCCATCTTCAGGTGCTGGGAGTGTCAGTAAGGCGATGGTTGGAAAATCATATCCACGAGGCGACACTGCTGCTGGTCGTATCTGCTGTACTACGACCATAGTTTCCGTCTGTCATCCAAGCAGATTTACGTAATCGTAGACGCCGTGTCTAAGAAACCCAAGTTTAAGTTCAATGAGATTGTGCAGTGGGACATCAAACAGGTACGGATTTATTGATTTCCAAGGCGAACTGCGTAGCCTCAAGTACAAATTGACCATGACTTCATATACAATGCCAACGACAGAATGGCGCCTGTCAAGAGCGCATAAGGTCGTATGGTCTGGGTTTCGTTTTTCCTCAGATTACGCTTCGTTCAAGATTTCATGCTCGATCTTTCTTCACTTGTTTTGTTTCGATTTGAAGCGGTTTTGTGTGAAGCCATTTCGAAAAAAACTAACATGATCGGGAAGTGAGTGAACATGAAGAGCGTTCGTTCCTCACTAGAGGCACAGAAGAGACAGCCCGGTTTTGCTCGGGCGAGATCAAACCAAGCGTCTACAATTCTAGACCTCACGGTAGACTTGGACGGGTTTAGCTGCACAAACTTATACATTGCCCCTATATAGGGCCTTCATGGACCGAGGCAGGTGTCATCCTGAAGTGAGCCGTCTCGGAAGTTCTTCTTTTCGCTGCGAGTCTACTCTTTTCCACCCAAGATGGAAGATTGTGCGGGCAGGCTAACCGGGCAGCTTCCTGATTGGTTGAGGATGAGACTTAGTTTTTCCAGTGGAGTATCGTTCCGCTTTCCGGCGGAGCGATCTAGCGATGGACCATAAAAACATCTGGGCATCCATCCGCACTCAACTACGAGTGAATCCCTATTCTCACAACCTAATTGATGTCTTATTGACCACCATAGTTACTCACAGTGGAACTGTTCAACCAATGCTTGAAACTGTGTCGGCCATTCTGAAAATGTTTCCCAACAGCAAATGTAGTGATAACCCACTGCATGGATGAAGCTTTATCTTCTGAACATGATAAATCTAAATATTTGTG